CTGGTATCCAGTGATACCGCTTGGAAGTCCCACCAAAATCTTTATCCCATTCACATCTTCTCTTTGGCTGAGCAATGCTACTTTTGCTGTTTTGAGAGATCCTGCAAGGACACTGTTTCATCAATGTACAAAAAGGACTTTACCACTCGCTATTAACCACATGATCTCACAAAAGCTCCTACGCTGTGTACAAGGAAAAGAAAACTCAGTCACGGTCATTCGGTATGATTTTGAGACGGGTGCAACTCATGAGGCATCCTTCACAAAAAATTTCCGATAAGAGAATTGGCGAGAAGCGGCATCCGTCATTCAGATGGAGCCTAGAGAGGTCGCCAACTTACCGGTGGTTACGTTCGGCTGCGCCTCAAGAAGCTTGAGTAAAGGGCCGTCATTCTGTGCTGATGGGCGACCTATACATTGCCCAACTACGAGTTTGAAAGTCAGTCGCATCTTAGAAGCGCTGATGCAAAAGCTACCCTCTGCCATGGCAAGCGATATCCTTCCTCAAGACAACGTAGGTGTCAGCTTCCTTGACTACGGCGAAGTGGCCCTACAGGAACTCATAATATGGGACAGGTCGAAAAGTACCTCGATCTCTGGGGACTTTTAAGCTTTGAAAACTTCCTCAAAGTCATGATATACCCATGTGCAGAAACCCCAGAGGACAGTCTCCACTAACCAGGGATAAAAACATCCAAATAATTTTTGGTCTTTTTCTAGAACAATTCAATCAAAGTGTCGCAGGACTTTTCGAACAACCTAATACCTTTGAGTGAAGAAAAATTTGGCCGAAAATTTGGTCATATGTCGCAAGATTTTCCGTCCAACGTAAGGATATGGCGCATCGATCATCGAACATCACGTTCAAGTATCAGCTTTGCACAGCACACTCGACGGGGTGAAAGTAAGTGAGAAGGGCAAATGTTGTTGGTTCTTCTTCTTCTTCTTCTTCTTCTTCTTCTTCTTCTTCTTCTTCTTCTTCTTCTTCTTCTTCTTCTTCTTCTTCTTCTTCTTCTTCTTCTTCTTCTTCTTCTTCTTCTTCTTCTTCTTCTTCTTCTTCTTTCTTCTTCTTCTTCTTCTTCTTCTTCTTCTTCTTCTTCTTCTTCTTCTTCTTCTTCTTCTTCTTCTTCTTCTTCTTCTTCTTCTTCTTCTTCTTCTTCTTCTTCTTCTTCTTCTTCTTCTTCTTCTTCTTCTTCTTCTTCTTCTTCTTCTTCTTCTTCTTCTTCTTCTTTCTTCTTCTTCTCTTCTTCTTCTTCCTTCTTCCTTCGCATCCTTCAAAAAGCAAAAATTCCGAAAATCAACCTCAACTCGAGAATGAGGTCCACCTCTTCTTTTTACCACAGTTGCCGTAGTTCTATGAGAATGGAAATGAGAAGCTGTGCAAAAGAAAGGCACTAGTCCTAGTCATCAACTGCGGTTACCTTGTAGATTGGAGATGTCCTTTACTGACCAGAAATTTAGTTCGAAAAATTTGGTCAAAGTGTCGCAGGACTTTTCGAACAACCTAATAGGTAGATTGAGCGCTCTTCGTCTTGCGAGATGGACTGCGGTTGCATGTATGCGCTCCTGATTCGCTGCGGATGAAAGGGCCTGTCAGGCGGGATGCGCTTGGTAAGAAGCGCCTGAGCAGCAATAGTCGGTGGAAAGCGACCGTTAGGGATGACACGATACAATCTTCCCGCCAGCTTTCTTCAAAAACTGGTGGGAAGCGGGTTTGACGCCACGGCGAAGCCATCCTACATGGCACGCTCCTTCATTTGCAGTGATTAACGACTGTGAAAACAGCAATGAATGAGGCAGAACCGCTTGGAGGCAGGGACGACCAGCAAAAATGGACGCAAGGGAGTCAAAATTTATTGTCACCGTTCCATCAAACAACAGTCAGGTGCCCCAAATAATTCCCCTGGTCTCTGTAGCAAGAGTTCACCAATTCCACTCGTTTCTGGGCAACTTTGTTGATAGCAAGCTTTTATTTGTCTGTGCACAATACGATTAGTATGTGGCGCCCTTGTTGAATATGGTCATCTGCCTCTCTTGGATTGCCTTATTCGAAACCCTGAATATACCATTTTCACTTTAAATTCACCACTTTTCAAACCAAATTCACCACTTTTCAAACCAAATTCACCACTTTTCAAACCAAATTCACCACTCTTTTTAGACCGGGCAGTTCACCAACCAGATCACGCCAGACACCACTGCGAACCCTGCCCGACGGTCACGCCTACTTGTCAGCGCGGACATAGATTTTCAACACATGACTGACTCCGCCCATTCTTTAAAGTTTGTTGCGAACTTCAAATCTTCATAACTTTTTCAATTTTTAATTTCACATCCACTCTTCGCACAACGAAGGTACTCGTAGACGCGCATTCATGCACCGGCAATTTAGGCTCCGCCCCTGGTACGCCCACTTGCTTTTTGCGGAATTTTGATATTTTTCAAAATTTTTGCATTCTTGGACTGCTCCGCCAAGCCCCGCCCACTGTGAGAGGCTCCGCCCACTTTGAAGAAGCCCGCCTCACTTTTTGAAAGTATTGCAACTCGGCAGTATAGAGCCTCGGGTTGCATGCTAGGGTCTCGTCCAATCACTCGGAACAAATTGAACAGACAAAGTTTTGAATCAGACAAAGGCTTAGTGGGGCAGTCCAGAAATGCAAAATTTCCTGGAAAATATCAAAATTCCGCAAAAAGCAAGTAGGCGGAGCCTAAATTGCCGGTGCATGAATGCGCGTCTACGAGTACCTTCGTTGTGCGAAGAGTGGATGTGAAATTAAAAATTGAAAAAGTTATGAAGATTTGAAGTTCGCAACAAACTTTAAAGAATGGGCGGAGTCAGTCATGTGTTGAAAATCTATGTCCGCGCTGACAAGTAGGCGTGACCGGGGCAGGGTTCGCAGTGGTGTCTGGCGTGATCTGGTTGGTGAACTGCCCGGTCTAAAAAGAGTGGTGAATTTGATTCTGAAAGTGGTGAATTTGGTTTGAGAAAAGTGAGTGCGAATTTAAAGTGTGAAGATATATATCATATGCACTCCATCGCAAGGGTGACTGGCACATAGTTACAGTCGAAAGCGATGGACGTGTCCTACGAAGACAACTGTGTGACAGTGCCTAATCTCGATACCGTTTCGAAAGGTAAACCTCAACAATTGGTGACGACGCTTTGTAGCAGGAAACAATCACATCAGCAAGGCAGTGGACGTTGTGTAATGAGGCAATATCATTTGGCTCTTGTGTGCACGTGTACAGAGCTGTAATTGTCTACGCACGCAAGTCACTAATTGTATTACTGTGTCCTCATAAGGTGCATGCTAATTTACAGAAAAAATATAAGATACCTTATTCACAAGCGACTTAAAGCTACAATCGTAGTTTCGCGCTGACAGTCGGGCGTGTCAAGCACAGTGCTGTGGTCTGTGGTCAAGGATAAGTCGAGATAAGAGACGGCCGTGCTGTTTGCAAATGGTTTCGAAGAATTCAGGCGGCGCCCGGGCACGGGTTTCGGGACGGAACCGCTGGACCAGAGCGATCAGCCGACGGATTCACGGATGTCAAGTGAACGCCTGGTTGACCGCCTATGCGATGGTTATTGGAGATGGTACTGGCGGCCACATCGAGGGAACTCGCAATGATCAACGGGAGCCCACGGGATACTGGTGATGTCCACTGCGTTGTTCCTGTTCTTTAGAAGAGTGTAACTTCTTTCGGAAACAACGTGACACAAAGCGAGAAGCGAATTGTGATTTCCCGATTTCCCATATGAAAGCTACAGAGCAATTCACAAAGAATGTCTCAATGCTGAATGCTTCGCATCAGATAGACGACGAAATTTCTCGTGAAAGCATGTTCCCAAACTTCCAGGGACCACCACTTCGGTAATACAAAACAGTCTGCAAAAGAAACACAAGCTAGAAAGTAGGACATATCCCCTCGCGAAATTGATGTGAGAGCCTGGTCATGGATGTTGATTAATTTGAATCTGGTCATCATGTTTCTTGCGAAAAGGAGAAGGCCGCTGAGCAAAGGGGAATAAACCGAGTGAACAGGAGTGAAGGCTCACGTCTGTGCTCTGAGCCACAAGCTCGATCGCCGCCTAGGAACAAACTATGCCTTGCAAATTTGCAAAAATGGTGCCGATACTAACGTCAGACCCAGGGTGATGGCAAGCCGGCTGTTGGAATGCCCGTCACAACACATGAAAAGTGGCAAAGTAGCAGAGCCTCGAGTGGTTGCCAAACTCATGCGACGCAGGAATGTCAAACTCTTATGCCTTCGGGGCACAACGGTGTTGCACCCTGCATGTGTAGCACCGAGCTATGTCGTACTTGTCAACATTATAGGCCTATCTTTGAGAAAAATTCTCGAAACTGCATCTAATTCGTCCTTTGCGAGAAAAACGAAACTGATGTGAGGACATCCCCTTAGTTTCAGGTTCTAAGTAATGGTGTAATCTGCAAACGACGGGACAGCCCTATGACAACTGTGCGACAGAGAGTTAGGCCAAAAGTATCATAACAAAGAGGTTCGACTGCACAAAAAACATTCTTGCCTCTCGAGCTAACGATCAAAGATGTTTTTAGGGTGCGTGATGTATATCCCTTTCCTGGGATATACAGCACGCACCCTACAAACATGGCACACTTCATGGGCACTGATCAGCGCCAAGGCTACACCGTTTATGGCAATGTTTTACCGCTCGGATGCTATAGAGCCTTTGGCAATAAAACTGTGATCACTCATATCATATCGCACACACGCTTCCTTTCAACGGAGATTCACAAAACCTAGCATCCTGTTGAAAATAGTGCGGAATGCAATAACCCAGCTTCTCTGGCTTTTAATTTTGAGCTTTCAGCTTTTGTTTTGCTTTTTATTATGTTACTGCTATTTTACAACAAGTACTTGATGTTCGGTAACAGTCTGGTTTCATTCTTCACTGCTGTGGAAGATTTGATGTTTGGTATCAAAATGCAAAGGGTGCGATGACATCAGTCGCGTGACTAATAACGTAGTGAGAAGTTGCTCACTGTTCTCACCTCGATGATCCTTCTTGATGTATTCTTCTTATCTTCCAAAATTCGGTAAAGGATAAAGACTTGAAGTCCTCTCACTTTACTAACATGAATCATCAAGGACGTTAAATTGAAGTTTTCCACTCGCCATTTATCGTCTCCATCCACCATCGGCCACACACCATAACTCTGCGGAAAATCACTAAACCAACAACCTATCGGAAAGGCTTGCAGAAAACATGCCTTAATGGCTCTGCAGAAGCTGTTTGGGCCCGATCCTGTTAATTTCCTTTTCGTCCATACATTTGTGGTATATAGACTTCAGGAGCATTCATGGATTTCGAAGCGAAGATCTCTGGCGACTCAAGTGCATCTGAATCTCACTATTGATTATTGAGCAGTGCAAGAACTTTGAGTGATAAAGCCTACAGGAGGGGGCAAAAAAGTCACTTCGACCGAGTCACATATCAGCAAAGTTTTCGCTGCCCAGACAGAGGACGTGGATACGAGTACCAGGGCGGAAGATACCCAAGATGTTCCTCTATAAGCAGGAGCTGGCTCTCGCCCATCACCTTCATGTACACCAAAATATGAAGTCATCTCCAGTCGCAGCCTGACTGGAGAAGACCTTTGGAATTCATGTCACCTCCAAACAGCTGCGAAACTTCTAGTATGGAGTCACCCATGGATAGCTACCTGGAGACCAGTACTCTCGATCTGGAAGACCTCCAACATCGAGCAGCTCCGACAACGTCGCTACGGTCTAGGACATCTTCACCACAGTCGCCAAGGCGCGGGTTGATGGTATGGACCGGACGTACCTGGAATGGAAAGACCAATATTTTCTTCGTGGACCCGGGAGCGCTGGCGGTTACATCGAGCAACTCGTGAAGAATATCCTCCTCACATGTCGTCGCCCGTACCTTCTTGGAAACTTTGTACTGCTACAGCATTGGGTGCCACCACATGGAATCGAAGGGCATTGGAGAAACTCTCGCCTACTTGGAATGGAAGGGGGCTGAATACCTAAAGAAGGTGGAATATCCAAGTAGGTCACCTGACCTGAATCCCCTCAATTACCCGGTTCGGGCGGAGTTCAATACGGTGGCGGAGAAATCGACTATCTCGCTGATCTCAGGCACCACATCGCGGTCGCGTGCCAGAATCTCTCGATGGCGCTCGTCCAGAAGGCTGTGGCGGAGTGTCATGATAGTATTTAATATGCTCTTTAATATGGTGGTAAAAATGTCCGATCAGATTTATAAAGTGTAACTTATAGCGCCTCAAGTCAATGAAGGAAAGTGACTTTTTTGCCCCCCCCTGTATTACTGGCTACGAGTTATACCTTGAATCGTGCATCGAGCTGATTTTTTTTGAAAAACTGGGCACTATTTTCTCAGTATTGCGGAGGCACGAAAACATGTGGTACCGTTCGAACCTAATATGGGTGTGCGTAACTACCAGCCCCCGAGCTGTCGAAGCATGTTCTTCACTTCTAGCCTTTGTTATCTTCAACATCTTTAATTCGTATTTTGCAGCATTGGTTCGGTCTCGATGAAGAACCAAAAGTTTTGGAACTTTTTAAAAAACCCCAAAACTTTTCGATTAACCTAATATGAACGGGGTTCGTGGGTCTGCACCGCATGTTGCATGTCAGGCGGAGTATGGAAGAATTAGCGTGTCTCACGGTCCTGGATCTCCATTCCTGCACATGCTTGGGCTGGGCTTTGACAGCTGGGTCTGATAGTCACGTACACTCAAACAATGTATGATCGTACCATGTGTCTTTTAGTACTTATGTGGACTTTACCTCTCATCTGCTTCAAGACCTTATCTGATAGTACGTGTAGTTGTGTGCGGGAAGTTTCGTCGCTAGGAATCGGATGAGCGGCGATCCAGTTGCCACAAGTGAACTCGAAAAAATCCACGCATGGATCAACCTGAACTTCTCTGTTCGTACAGTTGATCACATGTTAGTACCCTGAGGAAAATGTCACACCGCATTAGTTTACTGGTGTATGGAGCCGGCCAGCCCTTGTTCGCAGTAGTGTGTTCTGACCACGCCGTCACCTTGATGAAGCACAAGATGATATTGAAGGCGAATCTCCACGGTCAAAGACTTAAGCGGCAGCAGCGGCGATCGCCGGTATGCAACCGAGGCCCTTAGCGCTATTACTTGAACACTTCGAACACTTGTGAGGGAGATGGGCTTGATGTAGTGCTTTTTTTCTTCTAGCTGCAATTATTCTGCAATAAAAAGCCTGTTTCGACTTAACGAAAAGTGAAACCAGATTGATGACATTTCTTTTCCACTTTTATTCAACTTAAAGACACATGGTACTCAAACACATTGAGGGTGTATGAGACTATCAGCCCCCCAGCTGTCGATGTGTCGTGGTCCCCCGCCCAAAACTGCACGGGGTCAGAGTACGGGGCCGTGGGAAAGTCGTAATTCCTTGCTACACCGCCCTCACGTTTATGCTAACACCATCCGCGCGCGCGGTCGCGTGCAGCTCTCTTGGCTTTTTGCCGAAGTAATACAAGTACAACGCAATTTCTCTATACGGATAACATTTTAGGTGCTGCAACATAGGAACCGAAGATGATGACGAGGGAACTCAAAAGCAACTGTGGCTGCTTCTGCAATATCCCTCAGAGGCCGCGCATTCCCACAGAACATGACAATAAAAACGGACAACATGACAATAAAACATGACAATACAAGCAAAACGCAATTTCCTAACATTTGAGGTATTGCTCATGCTTCAAAGTCCGAATAGAAGGTGATGAAGATGACAAAGGCTAGAAATGAACAACAACGAATGTAGATGTAAATAAAACAAAATTGAAAAAACTAAACGCAATAAATTAAAATCGCGTGTGCATTTCTGCGATCCGGCTCGAATCCGGCTCTAATGCTATAGAAATACTTCAAACTAACGAGTGGGACGCTTAGGCCGTTTTTATTGTCATGTTCTGTGGGAATGCGCGGCCTCTGAGGGATATTGCAGAAGCAGCACAGTTGCTCTTGAGTTCTAGCCCTCGTCATCATCTTCGGTTCTTATTTTGCAGCATGTTATCCGCATAAAGAAATTGCGTTGTACTTGTATTCCAAAGCGCAATTACAGGACTTGGCAAAAAGCCAAGAGAGCTGCACGCGACCGCGCCGCGCGGATGGTGTTAGCATAAACGTGAGGGCGGTGTAGCAAGGAATTACGACTTTCCCACGGCCCCGTACTCTGACCCCGTGCAGTTTTGGGCGGGGGGACCACGACACATCGACAGCTGGGGGCTGATAGTCTCATACACCCTCAATGTGTTTGAGCGTACCATGTGTCTTTAAGGCAAAGATGGGAAATATCGTGAAAGCATCATTTTTGTTTAGCTTTCTTGATGTTCCTATTTTCATTCTTGAGCTTATGTATGCAGTATGAAAACTTCTCCTTCTTGATGTTGTGTTGTAGGTGTTCTACAACTTAGGAAAGTTGAGCCAGTAGAAGATTTCTGAGACACGTATACCAGTTGAAACAATCAATACAAGGAAAGAAACTCACATAAAGGGAAAAAGGTAATGCCCCATTCACCATGTTCCAGATCCTCTTGATACAGTTCCAGTCAGTGGCCATTATTAAGAAACAAGGTCACACAAGCTGGGAATCATCATATAGTAAGCGTGTGGTCCGGGTAGTATAGCGTAGGGGCTCACTCCATCGCATACCCGCCATCGCAGCTATCTCCACCACGAAGCGATTGCCGCTATTATCGCGAAGTATCAACGCTGGCTGACCTAGCGCTTGAGCACATCACAAATCGCTTGCTAAAATTAGGGTTTATCAGTAATTCACACCGCTTACAGAAGACCAGCAAAGGTGCTGTATGAAGTGAAACTGCAATCTTGCTTGCAACTTTATCCAGATTTCTTTACGGCACATTTTTGTAAGTTCGCGTCCAGAGGACGTGGTGTAGTGGCAGGCTGCACGCTAGTTCGGGACTAGTCCTCGGCTCCAGCAGACCAAGTCCTTCCTTTTCAGGGGACGGTGCACTGCTACCAGATTCATTGGGAGGGCGGAAACTCTGACTTGTTCATCGACTGCTCCGCATGCTATTGCGTAGGCCTCGTAACAACAAGAACTACACTACGATTCTGAACGGAAGTGTAATGCGTGCCGCGTGCCGAA